TTATAGATGATTAGATTAGTTTGATTAAGAGATTAGGGTTAACTTTCTCTTTAGATCTTGAGGCATCACGTAGTGATATTAGAGTAGCGGTTGAGAGGAATTTAATTAGTACCAAAGCCTCAGGAGGTGAACTGTTAGGATTAGTGTTTTCTGTATGTTTGAGTGAAACTAAATGCGTTTGATATTAAATCTCTCCTCATTCTGGTAAGAAGCTGGAAACAGCTATGATTATACTTCTTTTGAAAATGTTTGCTGTTATAGTTAGGATGGATAAGTTGAGAAAATATGAGGCACATATCAATTGTGGAATGAAGAGGGTGAATTTATGCATAAATGGGAAAGTATTCCATTTTCTTGGGATTTGAAGTATTATGACTTCCTTGAATTCTACGCTTCAAGTTGATAAGGCCGGGGAGAAAGGAAATTACGTATTTTTAGCTCATGTAAGAGATTTGAGCAAGCTAGTTGAAGATATCATTGATGTTTTAGTAGTGAAATAATTTCTTGAACTTTTCCCTAATGTGCTATATGGGCTACCACTTGAGAGAGAGAGATAGAGAGAGAGAGATAGAGAGAGAGAGAGAGAGAGAGAGAGAGAGAGAGAGAGAGAGAGAGAGAGTTTTGTGTTGATGTATTGCAAGGTACAACTCCGACAGTAAAAACTCCTTATCGAATGGTATTAAGAGAAATGTACGAGTTGAAAGCGTAGTTGCAATATCTCATAGAGAAATGATTTATTGAATCAAGTGGATACATGTGGGGAGCTCGATAGATCTCTACGAATGTGTATCGATTATAGAGAGTTGAACAAAATTACTACTAAGAATAAATATATATTGCCAAGGATAGACTATTTGTTCCATTAGCTGGAAGGTGACATTGTATTTTCAAAAATAGACTAAAGATCATGTTATCATCAGTTAAGGGTGAAGAGTGAAGACATTATAAAGATGACTTTTAGTACCATATATTGGCAGTATGAGTTCCTTGTGATGCCATTTGAGGTGATAAATGCACCATATGTATTCATTGACTTCATGCATAGGATGTTTAAGGAGTATATGGATTAATTTATTATTGTATTCATTGATGATATTTTGGTCATTGTTATCTTGTGAAGAGCTTAGAGAAAGGCTTCTGACTAAATTTGAGCTAGTGGATAATGCCACAAAAAAGAACATATTAATCAAAAAGAGATTAGTGGTAGCACAAGACAGCCTAAGGAAGTATTTTGATCATAAGTATAAGTCTGTTAAATTCAAAGTTCGAGATTTTATTTATCTAAAAAATAACCCAATTAAATGAGTAAGCGGGTTTGGAAAAGATAATAAATTAAGCCCTCGATATATTGGACCATTTGAAGTAATTAAGTGAATTACTAAATCTGCTTATAGATTATTCCTGCCTGACCGTATGTCTGATATCCACAATATTTTTCATGTGTATGTAATAAGAAAATGGGCTTTAAGAACAAAGGGTTTATGAAGCAGAGCTAGAAGTGCAACTTAATTTGACTTATAGGGAAGAATCGAAGCGCATTCTAGCATTCGATGTTAAGCAACTAAGAAATAAGCAAATCCCAATGGTCAAATTATGTGACAACACTAATAAGAAAGAGAAAGAAGCTGAGATGACACGTCTGTATCCAGCTCCATTTGATCGAAATGTCAAGGACAATATTTTCTCTAAAGAGGGGAGAGTATAATAATCATTGTCAAGAAATTAGATAATTATTTGCTTTAAAGTGATAGATTTTAAATTATTTGATAATTATAAGTGTTCTTAAGTTAATTAGAGCTTAGAAGGTTTAAAGTCTTAAGCCAAGAAAGTGAAAATGTGAAGTTTAGATTTTCTTCTGTTAACGCTATGATGCCATATTCGAGTGCCCCGACGCTCTACCCTTGGGAAAATAACATTTTTCAGATTTTGAAGGATTATTTTGGCTAGGTAACATCCTTATCATATAAGAAATGGATCCTATAGTATCTAGGGAGAATTTAAACGAGTTTGAGAGTTCTCTTTCTAGCATTGTGATGTCTAAAAGGGTTGCGCTGCGACAATTTGGCGAGTTAATGCTTTTTTTAAAACTAATAAATATCAAAAAGTACTACCCATGACCCATTCACCCCAGCTTGCTGAAGAAGGAAGAAAGGGAGAGGAAGGAAAGAGAAGGGTAAAACTAGGATTTGGAGTCTGAAATTTGACTTTTTCCGTCAACTTAATTAAGGAAATTGTCGACCATACCCCAATTTTTTTTTTATTTGGAAAAATTAATCAAAATTTATGCTTTTAAAAGTATTTTTTCCTAAGTTTTAAAAAAGATTTCACCTTGTAAATTTTTTGTATATTACTTTATTCTTCATTATAGATAATTAGACTATAAGAATGCAAGTTTCTACTGGTTGGTTTCTTTTGTATTATTTTTTATGATTCTGAAAAATAGAAACACTTATGATTGGTAATACAATCAAGAAAGCATCTTATTTTAATATTTTATATAATCTCTATTAATTTGATAAGGTTCTAAGTACTCTGTGTTGACAAATGAAAAAGTGGAGGTTTTCTTATACAAGTAAGATCATGATATGATTCCTTGCATAATTTATATTATATCTCAAAATTGCATTTTTCATGCATCACATGCATGGATTTTTGAATTGGAAAGGAAATGCTATAAAAGTTTTCTGTTTTAGGCCCAATGTGGAAGTATTATGTATTAAAAATATTCTGTATTAGAAATACTCTGTATTTAAAACTCTATGTATTGGAAATTATTCTGCATTGATTTCTTTCTACTATGCACCTATCTTGAACAGGTGGGAGGTGGCTCTGCTCTACACCTGGGTGATCAAGTGGGAGGCAGAAGTTTGGGAGTTATAAGGGGCATAGAGGTTTTTGTAGTCTTGCATTTACAAGTGCATTATAAATTAAATAATATTTTACAATCTTTGGGTTAAAACTATTTTTAATATTTACATAATCTTTTATATATTTTTTATAATTATGAATTGAATTTTATGATGTGAACTAGATTTAACGTACTGAGTTATAGACTCACTTTATTGTTGTTATACCATTTTAGGCAAAGTTAAAAGAGAGAGAGAGAGAGAGAGAGAGAGAGAGAGAGAGAGAGAGAGAGAGAGAGAGAGAATACAAATCTAATGGAAGAATGAAAGAGTTTACATGTGAAATAATTCAAGGGTTTTCATTATAACATATTCTAATTGTTCATCAAGTACATTCCTTTAGGGCTTCATTCTAAATATAACATTTTTCAATCACTTGGTTTTATATAAGTTTGGTTTTCTTTCCAATAATTAGATGTAAATATTGAATTATATTGTAACTTAAGGTGATGACCATTTGTTCACCTCTAATTTCAAGAGAATTTTGATTTTGATATTTCACTTATTTTAAAAAGTGGGTGGCCTATCCATATGGTTAAGATGTTGTGTTGCACTTACCTAGAGAGAAAAGGTGTGTAGGTATAAGGGTTTCTCCACTTGCTTGAGGAGTGATAGAGTTGAGATTGTGGTGGCAAGCTTAAGTTGTGAGATCCTAAGCATATGGTTTAAGCATGAATATAGGAGGTTTTGTGGTTGAAAACCATAAATATTATTGGATTCACTTTTTTTTAATCTTTTAGATTTGCTTTGTTGTACTTTGTTTTTTATCTACTTGATTTTTTGAGCTTGTAAACTTAATTGGAGAAAATGTATTTCATATAATTGTTCACTTTTGAAAAGTTATTTTATTTACTCATTTTTTATTTGTAACTACTCTTAGATTGCATGAATTATTTACTTCACTATAAATTTTATTTTAATTCTACAAATTTTTTTCACTTATGTAACTTAGGTGTTTGTGAATTGATTTGATTAGTAGTTGAGTTAGTTTGTTTTTAAAGCTTATAATTGAAATGCTCACTTACATGACATATTTCATTAGGACCTCATAAGTTAAACTCCTGTGGTGTATTAGCAAACCAATGCCTTAAGCTACTGAATCATACCTCCTTTTTGTTGATATCTATTTTTGATGTGTTGGGTTTGGTTGGTTGACCGTATGTCCAATCGTGGTGGTAGCTAATCATCCTTTTTTACTAGAACAATTATTTTAAGTTGATTTTATAACTGTGCATAATTTAATTTATATTATGGAAAACACTTATATACTCATTGTATTAGTTTATTAACTTTACGCAGATCATACTTCCAACATTTGTAAATTTTGGTATTTGGTTTATGGTTTGAGTATCACGCTATAATTTTTGTTTATGTTTAATTAATATATCACATAGCTTTTTTAGTATCAATTTTTATGGATTTTGAATGAAGTCAAAAGTTCCCTGTTATAATCCCTCTCCCTTACTATGTCACTACCCTCTACTGGTGTGCCCTTGAATAACATACATTAAAATATTCAAATTAAGTTAATATAATTATTAAACAAGATTGTGTAAGATATTAAGGGTGTATATATTTCTATTAACACAAAATATATTATGGGGACTATCTGTTGGACAATTATGTATTCACCCTGATTCTTAATTTTTTTGGGAAGTAAATAATTATACATTACTTGGAGCTTCATGTGTATATAAGAAAACTTTATTCTTATTGCACCTTTTAAGGTTAGGAGATAAAGAAAGACTTCAATCAAGGATCTCAAACATGTTAGACATAAAGAAAATCATATCATTTTGATCAAATTTTAGTCAATAAAATATTAAAAATTGATTTAAAAATTATTTTAATATATTTTGAATTGCACAAATACTTAAAAAAGATAAAAACATTTCATATAAGTTATATAACAAAATAATGAAATATTGAGATAATTCTCACCTAATTTTTATCCTTTAAAATTCTAAAAGTTTTAACTTATTAAAATAATTTTATATTAAAAATTTATTTAAAAAATAGTAAGAAAATAATCCACCACCCTAAAAAAATTAACTAACTTCTCAACTTAACCACCCACGATCTGTGAAGAGGCTTATCCGAATTCATTTTGAGACCAATTCGATCGCCCTAATAACTGTTTCGGATTTCGCGCACCAATTTCGAATCCTCCCGAGATGCGCTCTGCGGCTGCGATCATATCCTACCGCCGCTTCTCAGAGATTTCTCTGCCCAATTTCACTCTCCCTTTCCTCCGTTTCCGCGCTCTGCTTTCATTCTATTGGAAATGGCATCCCGTCTCCGGCTCGGTCATCAAGAGGAGTTGGGATCTGGCGGGAAGATTCTCCACGGCCGGCTCCATCTGCAGCCGTTCGCGCCCTACAACCGGCCGTCGACTTCTGCGGCGCCATTGGCGCTACCGGCGCCAGAACTGGAGGGCCGAACAAGCCCTAGCTGGTTTCGGGGCCTCATCTCCGGTGCAGGGAAGCTGATCTCGTCCGTCCTTGGTTCCGAGGGAAGCGGCTCGTCTCCTTCGGAGTGCTCGTCTGATTGTTCCTCATCCGACGAGGATTCCGATTCCTATTCCAGTAAGTGCTCTTTCTCTGCTTCCGCTTTGCCCCTCCGAAGTGGCAGCTTCAAGGTTAATTACTATTTTCTAGGTTTGATTTATTGGGCAATTCGCCTGTTGTTGTGGTAGTCTTCATATTATTCTATTCACGGTTACTTTTCATCTGCGCTGTCGAACGTCACTTTGCTGTCTTGTTATTAGTTTGTATTAGTAGCGGCCATTGGAATTGTTTATGGAGATGAGAGTTGGAGCTTTTTCAGGAATTTAGGCACTTGCACTATTTTTTAAAAATATATTAGACTCTTTGACCGCTGCTTTGTCTTGTTATATATGCATACATAATTACATGAATTATCAGAGGAGGACACCTGATTTTAATATTCAGTATTATAGCTATTTGATGCTTGAATAACATTTTTTAAAGGAAAACTCCCTGAAAATACGGTTATGACCGGTGATATAATTGAGCCACCTTACTCTTTTTGATATGGAGGTGAAATTTTTTTTATTTATTTTTTTGCTTGATTCGTAGCTGTCAGATTGTAGTGAACTACCGTCCAAGGGAATATGCAGAACAATCTTTGATAGATTATGCGTTATACAATGAGTTGGTTGTATTTGTTCTTGTTCCATGAAGTAGTTATATTCAGCAACTAGAAATTTCTGGTCGACAACATTTCTGAGACATTAAGCACTAGCATGTAGCTTAAAGTTTGCCATGCACGCTTCAGGAAGGACCCTATTATAGCTGGCATGACAATGTCATAATAAATAACGGTCACCGTTGTTATTTCTGCTTTGAGTAAAGTATGGTCCACTCTAAAGTATTTCTATTGTATATTTCTTTGATTGCAATATTGCATACTTCTTGCCAAGAACTTTCTATTGCAGTCTTTATCACAATAATAATAGAAAAATAGAGTTTTCAAAGTCTAGGGCACCCTTATGGCAATGACTGTCCAACATCTGATGTGCTCGGGTCACTAACATATGCGCTAGCCCAAGTGTAGAGGCAAAAAAGAATTTTACATTAATTTTGAGGAATGCTTTTGAAAAGTATACACAACAACAACAACATCAAGCCTTTGTCCCACTACATGGGGTTGGACGTATCAATCCTTTTTTGCCATTGTGCCATGTTAAAAGTCAAATTCTCATTTAAATATAATAAAGAAAGATCATTTCTAATATTTTCTAACCAAGTCTTTTTAAGTCTACCTCTACCTTTCTTAACATAAGTCAAATCTAATACCTCAACTTTCCTAACCGGGTCATCGGAAGGCCTCCGTTTAAAATGACCAAACCATCTAAGGTGACTCTCTCTAATGTTATCTTCCACTGGAGCTACTCCAACCTTTTCATGTATATGCTCATTTCGTATCCTATCTCTAAGGGTAAAGCCACTCATCCACCAAAGCATCCTCATCTCTGCAACACATAACTTAGTATTATGCTTATTTTAAAATCATTTTTTTTCAACATAACTAAACATGATTATTATCACATTATACTTGTCAAAAGCTTTTTTGAAAAGTATAATGTGATAATAATCATGTTTAGTTATGCTGAAAATAAAAAGATTTTAAAATCCCATTACATTCTGAATTATAATTTCTTCTAAATTCATAATTTATATAAATATATTTAAACTACTTAAATTTATAGTCATAGAATACATAGCCATGGCATGATATAATCTTCATTAATATCTATTCCATGTTAATGATTATCCATGCTTTCTTGTCTATTGTTGGATTCACAGCCTTGCATATTTTCCTTTAGCTTTTTTGACTTATCCTTTTTACTATTTTAGAACTTAAGGTCCTGGCGTGCCTTCGGTCAACTTATTTTTAAGGGCTCATATTCTCCAACTTTTGATGCTTCTTTCACATCATTCCATGTCAAGTTATCATCATAAAAAAATTATCTTCAACATTTGAAGCATTGATACTTTTCTCTGAAATCAAGCCAAGGAGATTTCTCACTATTTGGTGCGTTAAAGCATTTTTTGGGCTTAGGCATGCCTTAATAATGTTAACCTCTTGCGAGATATGTGGGGCACTATGACCTTACCTTGCCTTGCCTTGCCTGAGTGTTTCCTAAGTAAGCTCTCCTTTAACAAAACTAATTTTTGTATGGCTATTTAGTTAAATTGATCTATGTTTTGTCTATGTTAACTATATATCAAAAGTTTGGAACTCATAAGTTTGAACTTTCCAAACTTTATGCAGTTTTTAAGAAGAAGAAAGAATTCCAGTCCCGTTTCATGATGTATTTATGTGTAAATGTGGTGTTATGTCTTATATGTTGATTATATTGTTGCTTGTTCTAGAGATTAGTTTTGACATGAACTTAGTCATTTTGTGGGCAAAAAAACCTTCCAGGATATTAAGGAGAAATAATATCTATTCATGTAAAATTCTTTTCATGTTCGTAGGACGAAGCATGTTGAAAATGGTATTACCATGCCAAATGAAATATTGGTCATCATAGACATTGATCTTACCTCAATTATTTAGGCCAACATTTTGAATCCTTATCCTATTGGTGATATTATTTCTATGGATTACTCGATGTGATTAAATTTTTGTCATGCTAGTTATCATCTTCATCATTAGCCTTAGCCCAACTATTTGGGTCCTCTTTCAATTCATTCTTGTTGAGTACTACATGAGGCTATAGCATTACGCTAGTCTAATCTTTTTGTACAATTTCTAACCATATCCGTTTTCTTTCATAATTATCTTACATTGATTTTATAACCATCTTATTATTTGTATTTTCTATTCTCCATTATTCTTGTTCAGACTACCTAATTCAATTTCACATGACAATCTTTAGTAAGGGTTTTTCCCAGTATCACTAAAAATATTATTTCTCTATCTATTCTTGTTTATGCTATGCATCCATATAACATAATCATTCATGTTGCGTAAAACTTGGCCAGATACATTTCCTTGTCACTTATTGCCAAATTTATAACATCAAACTAATTTTAGTTTTATGAAACAAATTTGTAACCCTCTATGATTTTTCCTTTTTCATAATATCCATAAGGCACTTTCATTTTAATCACTCATCCATAAACTTTATAGTGATAACCTCATTTATATCTCCACTCTTATATATGGCAGATCTGAGATGCTTAATCTTGCCATATTTAGTATCGCTTGATCTTGCAACAATAACGACATAGTTATCACTTTCAAACTAACTAAAATTTGATATTATATATTCATTTTTTGTTCAACTATTTGTAAGTCCCTTACAAAAGCTTCGTTTTTGTAACTTCTCAATTATTTGAAAAATATCTCACCTATTAGAATTATGAATACTGCAAATAGCTTTACATCAGGGTACCTATATTTGAATATCCATTGTAAGTAACTTATAAAATATAGATATATATTTACTATTAAACTTTGCTGTAACAATATTGTGTTTGAGGACTCTTTAATCAGTCAACAATTGATGTGACCCTATAAATAACTCCTAATTTAACTCATTGTTTGATCAAGGGCACCGCTAAATCCCCGTCGTCCTTTGGCATTTTGATCTCATGGCTAGGATGAGAATCCGTGGGAGCCTCACCTATTAAATCCTAGTCGTCCCTTTGCATTTTGATCCCACAACTAAGATGTGAATCCGTGGTAGGCTTACCTAGATCATGTTGATCTCCTTCCATATTTAGGTGGTTGATTTATGAATGATTGTATTAGAGCAATTATGCATGATTTTGTAATTATTTGTTTCTTTATTAAGATATATTATATAGATCTATAAATAGGGACAGATTTGTGCAATACAATTAAGCTTTTACCTCTCCAATTTTTTCAATTTAACATGGTATCAGAGCCTTCATTGCTGTTGCCGAAATTTTGAGTTTTTTATACTGATATGCCTTCATTGTCGACATTCCCGTGTTGTTGTTATCCTATTTATAACCAACACAGCCTTTATTGCTTCCCTGCTTGATATAGCCTTCATTGTTATCTTTTGTCGCCGCAATGTCTGAAGCAAATTCCTCCCAAAGCTTTTATCAAATGGAGGACTCTATGGTGCACCAAGGAAGAGGAGATCTCCAAAATATGCAACCTAGGGTTGTCAAAATCAGGTTACGGGTCGGGTTCGGGTCCAACCCGGAACTGACCCAACACTGTTTAACTTGACCCGAACTTATGGGGACATCAGATCATGGAGAGTCTATCAGAGATGCGGCCGTCGATCTATGACCATGATTGAGTCATTGTATTTCTGAGTTGTTTTATGTATTTTCTTATTTATGATGTCATATTGTATTTGTTTTATTAATTTGCTTATTTAATTTCCCGTTGTACCATTTTATTAAGGGAGGTCATATGTAAGCTCTAGGGGCTTTGTTGTCCATTTATTTTTGTGAGTATTTGTACGAGGATATTTATACCCATAGTATTCTTTTTTTGAGATTAATGAATGATTAATTGAAAACTTTGTTTCTCTTGTTTGAATTCTCATGAGAGCTTGAGAGATTGGAGTGAAATTCCTAGGAGAGGGAGACTTGTGCAATACCCATCAACCTAGACAAGTCGGGTTTGTGGTTCTACCTTCTATCTCTTTTTCTCTTCCTCCCTCTATCACCGCCGGCCGTACCATCCTTCCCTCACCTTGTCCAAACTTCATCCCCACCGAATTCTCCAAACTTTCTCCACCTAGCCGCCGGTACCCCTTACCCGAGCCCCCATCCAAGCCGCCGACCCTAGCCCCTTGCCCACACTTGGATTTACTTCCTAATTTTGATTTCCATAATTTAGACGGAATTTTGAATTCAAATTCACCCAATTTGAAATTCAGAATCTTTCCTAAATTATAAAATCTATTATAGGAAAGTTTCCAAATCTCCCCTATCGGATTTTAAGTTATTTTGGGATGAATTATTTCATTCCAAATCTAGTCATCTAAATTAAGGAAGCATTAAAAATTAAGGAAGCATTAAAGCCTCCTTAATTTTCCCCCCATCCCCATAAAGCTGCCGGCCTAGCT